GGCTAGTAGTGTGCCACCAGTCTGCTAAAATTCGAGGAATACGCGATGTTTTCTCGTCTCCTTTCCATACAAGCTTTACTGTTTGCTTGAATGTGGCTTTATCAATTATGTAGCTTGACTGCTACACCATTTGATCACGTCTTCATGCACTAGAGCAGCAGAATGTTTCATCTCTAGACCAGAGGTTCCAGTCTTCGCATTCATGCTTGATTCAGAGTGAAGAAAAAAAGAGAATTTTCCCTTTAAGCACAGAACGACTGTGACTCAGTTGAGCTGTGTTGTGTGCAGGTACCTCTCCTTTCACAAAAGATTCTTGTAATGATGGCAAATTAGCCCCTTTGTTTTAAGAATATTATTTTTGTTATCTTTATACTTTTTGGTACTAAACAGTGAGTTTGTGGGAAGTAGATAAAAATTTTATTAAAGATATTTTTAGAAGAAACAGTTGTTAAGAAGAAAATGAAAATAATAGAATATGGGAGACTCAGCCCACCTTCACCCAGCCTTAAGAATGTATGTAAGGACAAGTAAAGAAATGTACTCCAGGAATTTTATGTTTTGCTGCATTACCCATGGTTAATGGCTTGGAATAATCTTAGAAAAACTGCCTAGATGGCTATGCTTGCTGCTTGAAGAAAGTCTAACTATTTCTATTTAAGGGCCTCTCTTAACCTCATAACTTCTCAAAAAATAAAAAATATAATGGAGAAATGTTTAGATGATTGAAAGGGTTGCCATTTAGAGGTTATTGTCAATCTGAATCACTCCTTGATAGAGGGAACTATATAGAATCTTTGCAACTGCTAGAAGATTATGATCCTCTTGTGAGTGACCACTTAGAGGCAGCCACTGTTTTCAAGGGCACATCTTCGGTCTTTCAGAATGATTATATGAAAGCCGTCCATGAAGTGATCTAGATGGCATTTTATAGCAGATATAAGAACCACTTAATAAAGGATGAAACTTTAGATATTATTTTCATATTGATGTACATTCATGATGGTAAGAGGTTTTTCTGCTAAAACACTTTCTTTAACTGGTTTTTAAATGCTGACATTTTGTGTCATATATTGCAAACCGAAGGTGTGAGTATAGATTACATCCACAAAATAAGAGAATTTCAGTCATCTAGAAAATGATCACGACAAAGTGTTCTCACGTCTGTGACCCAACTCAAAGAAATGAAGAGGGTAAAATTGCACATGGGGTATTCTGTAGGGGAAAGTGCAGAATACTTTTTCACAAAATTATTGAGAACCAAATCGGTCATCTGTCAGCTTCTCTCTGAAGCAGTGAAATATTTAATCTTCTAGTTTACTAAATATGTCGATTAAATTATCCAATGGCAGTAGCTTGAGTGACAGTCAGTTTGACACTGTACAAACTAACATTGCAGTAATACAGGGAAGATTAGCGTGGCCCCTGCACAAGGATTACGCACAAGATCCTGAAGCGTTTCTTAATTTTAATATATTGTTGAACTGTTTACTTGACTACAGATCATAATTGATTTTGTTAGGTGAACGTTCCTTGCAGTAAGTTTAAAGTACTGACCAATAAATGAGAGCCTGAATGATATACTAGTACAGTATTGCCCAAAATAGGGTCTCCTTTGTGATTCATGACTTACAATATTCCTCAGTCCTGGGAAATTTCAGGACAACAATTTAAAGTAGGCCACACCTGCTGCCTCCCACATCCCTTCAGATTCATCCTGCCACATCACTGAATCCAGATATCTTTTCCTCAGAAATTTACACGCCTGCACAAATTACCTGAACGTCCAGATTATTGAGTATTTAGAATTTCCGCATTTTCACATTGGTCAGTTTTAGCCTCACTATTAACTGTACTTCAACGTTAGACACTGCACAGCAGCTTTTATGTTTACCTTCTCATTTCAGGAGACAGACATACATAGAGAAGATATGTTTGCCGATGTCGACACATTACCTGTCGCTGTGAAAGCCTCACTTTATACAATACATTACACGCATAAAATATAGCTAACATAAAATATACACATAATTAGTAGCTTAAACGTCTGCTTGAAATATTTTTCTTTATAACCACATTTACTGCACTATTTACAAACTATGATGATATTGATTTTAAATCTCAATATATCCACAAAAATGGTAATATTCCCAAATAGCATGTGAAATGTAAATACAGTCAAGGTAATAAAGAGTGTCTTTATGGAATATGCTGTAGCCTCTTGTAGTCGATCTTCTCGAGCTGCACCAGAGGACGGAGCTGCTCAGCAAAACTGCGCATGTCCTCAGCAATGGCATCCTGTCCACTGGGGGCTAGCACACTCAGTTCCACCAAGTATGACTGGGACATGGGCTCCATGCTTTCTGCAGGCTTTCCCTGCCCCACCTGTCCCACCTGTATGAGAGGCAGTATTAAGAATAACATAGTTCCTTTACTGGTCAGCAAAGTTTATACAACAGTACTATAAACTTGACAACATTTCCGTAATTTAGACTGATAGCACAGTATCAAGTGGAAATGAGACGTAATGCATATTGATGAACTCCGTAATTTATACAGCTCTCCTAGTATTTTTAGGATAGTCAAGTCACAGAGTTCACAATGAACTGGACAAGTAGGATAGAATTAAAATAGGCTGTGAGGATGTGAACTGAATTGAACAGCAAATAATCACATTTCCAGCTCCAATTTCAAAATTAAATATTACGATATCTAAAAAGGAGAAATTTCAAATATAATGTACTGTACACAACTAAATTAGTTTTAGAGGGCTTTTTCAAGTAGCAGCCAGTATAGCTCAAATTGCTCTGCTGATCGCCAACATCTGGAAAGGATAGGCACTTTAAGGAGAAGCAGAAGAAGAGTCAATGCTTGTCCTGCAGTCATGTAGATCTTATTCCTAAATGGGAAAGGTTAAAAGTTTCTTTCTGTGTTGGATTAGATTTGTAGTGCAGTGTCATCATAGATTGGATATAAGAATTTGATCTTGTAAATCCATGGCTGTTATATTTGCCATGGCCAGGCCACATGACATTTTAAAAAAACATTTTGTGTAAGCAAAATTTGTGCGCTTATTGAGAGACAGAATATGGGACCTAGTAAGAAAGAAAACAGGTCGCTGGTATTTTACAATGAACTGAAAAGTAGTGGGAAAGGAAAGTACACACAAGCATGTACTCAGGGGGCTAGAAGATGTGCAAATGATTAAAGATCATCATCTGGAAATTTGATAATGTCAGGGAATATGGAATATAGGACTTGAGTTGCGTGTAACAAAGAAAAGGCTAGGCATAATTTTGTTGGAAAGAGTCAACATGAATTACTAGCTTTGGCATTTGATTCAGTGGCTGGGACAACAGTAGCACATATGACTGGAATTTTTCATTGCACTACTATCAGGAATTCTTGGTGCATCAGTGGTCATTTATGCACTCAATGGAAGAAGCAGCATTTTCAGAAAAAGAATTGGGGGGGGGGAGTCTTTTTAAAAGTTAAGATGCTGTTAAACTATGCTTAAGTACAAAAATGAATGTGCTTTTAATAAGCTGTTTTACTTGTCTCATTTGATTTACTGATGCTTCCAAGTCTCACTAATCAAGTGGTTGCAACCCTATGTTTATAATAATTTTCTGGGTTGAATTCAAGAATAGAACACATTCATTATGTTTGATGCATACAATTAAGAAGAACCAACTATTTGGCCATTTCTAATTATCTGCGTATGTTACCCAAAGCACTGATCTAGAAGACATCCTATTTTTATATTTCAGAAGAATTACATAATTGCTGAATGATGCACTTGCCAATTAATTCGTGTCATAAAAGAGCTTGTCTTTCCTCCATATATTTTTACAGTACCATTTTATGTACAAACTTTCACATAAAGTATCCTCAATCACTTTCATGTAGTCAGGGTATCTTGCATGAGGCAACTTTGTAGATTACAGACTTTTAAAATACCACCTGTTACTATTTGTAGAATGAATGATGTATTTGCATGGCAGCCTTCCAGAGGGAACCCAGCTGTCATAATCCTGAACATGGAACTACATACATACATTTTTATTACATTCCATGGATCTATAAGTTTGTCAGATGACCATACAAGTCATACTATTATATAAATGTCACAAAATACAAACAAAGGGTTCACATAAAGTAGAGATAAGTTCAAACAATCCATGATCAGACGCATTTAAAAAAGTTTTACTTCCTGACAAGGATCTGTGCTCTGGCAATGAAGATAGTTTAAGCAGGAAGCAATAACTACTGTAATGACTGGCAAGTAAAGTAAAGTTGTCTCGCTACATGCCATGTAGGCACTTGGGGGAGAGGTAGTATAGATCCAACTAATACTTAATCTTATACACTATGAAGCTCTTCATTGTGCAATTTTCTGTGTGATACATTCCCCTCCCATTTAGGCCCAAATATTTTCCTCAAAGAACTGTTCTGAAAGGCCCTCAATCAATTTTCCTCAAAGTGAGAGACCAAGTTCCAACCCATACAGCGCAACTTGCAAAATTATAAATCAATTATGAAAGGTCCAGTGACAGAGGAACTCTGTCTGACCCAACTGAGTAAGTGCCCTTCCCCACTTTATAAACTGAGGAAGGAAGTAGATGCAGCTTCAGAAAGGCAGTGTTCTTTTTAAAAATACAGACGATTGACACAGTCCAAGAATTTAGTGTTCTTGATGCCAAAATTACACTTTTGAGTACTTTAGTCTTTGTAATTATATTAGGAGCTAGGACAAAACATTTTGGACTGAATAATAGTAAGCATTCCCTGAATTTAATCTTCTATGGATTTCATCATGAATTGCCGTACTGACTTGTTAGTGTAATATATATTATTAGCATGGTTTATAATTTGCTAATTATTCACCATTACTAATTACAAGCCGCGCACATTCGTTCCCACTACGAAGAGGCCGTTACTGTCGATTACCAAAATACAACAGCAACAAATAAATGTCCAAGCATGTAACCCATTCATGTAGCGAAAAAAACGACATACTATTCTGATGTATTTTGCGTCTGACTTGGTTGCCGATGGACATTGCTCGGAAATAATATGGTGGAAAAATGTGTTTTTAAAAGAAGTTCAACGGGGAAATGTGTTTTTAAAAGCAGTTTAATATTCGGGCCAAAGCTTTTTCCACAGATAGTGGCATGATAAATATCGGTTTGTAAGGGGCGTTAATTTTGACTGCATCAAGTCTCAAAGTGAGGTTATACTCATTAATTCAGTGAGTACAACATAACGTCGCTTATGAAGATGACCCAGAGGGCTAAAAAACCAAGCTGCTTGCGACGTACAGGTTTTCAAAGAGTGTGACAAAATTCCTAACTTCTGTGGAAGGGTACGTTATACATACTGTAATGTATTTTTGGTTCTTCTTGTTCGTAACTTTTCTCACGTTCAATTCACCGACCATTCACTAGAACAATATATTTCAGTCCAGTGTGATCATCATTATTTTCGATTCCCCGTTTTTGTGTAACTTTTCTGCGAACCGTAACTTCTCTTCCCAATGTGAAGAAATAATTTAATGTATTTTGTTCGTAAGAAATTGAATTCGTTCACTTTTTCGTGTAAGCAGATCATATTCTAGAGACATTTCCGTATTGTAAGTTGTTATTATATTTTTCTAATATAATTTTTGTTATGTTTTAAGTAATGGAATAGCATTTTTCGTTGCTTTTGGCACTAGTAAAATATTTTTTGTTTTGAATTTTGTTATACATATTTTCCTCCTAATTTTACATGCAATCATCCGCTTGCCTATATAGGCTAATTGCATGACACAAGAAACAATCTCTAGTCGTCACATGATAACGTGTGCAATGAATTGTTTTTTTCTAGTTGGCCATCCTGTTTCACAACCTCAGGTCGTATGACTTGTTGTCACGCATGCGTCTCATCCTTTCCGAGGCGGCTGCTGAGGAAATTGTGTTTCCATTCCATGAACTATATTGAATTTATTCAGAAAGTAGAGGAACGTAGTGACTGAGAAAACCATGGAGAAGAAATACTTGGATTTTGGTTATGTATGTATTTGTTGTATTATTAACTGATTGATTCTTAATGTAATATTCCGATAATCCAGTGGGTGTGATATCAGTCTGAGAACTAATTTTTCCTGCCCTTCTGGAATCCTAAAGCAAATAATCAGAGATTCAATTGTGGTGAGTACTTTGGACGGGTTTATCCAAGTCCAAATCATCCAGGATATCTGTCAGAGTTGACCATATCATGGGAATGTTCATTCAATATGTCTAAAATCACATTTTCCATATGTAGTCTTCCCATATCTTGTTCGAAAATGTTTTTGCATGGCTTAAAAAGTCTGAACAAAATAGCCTTGAAAGATCTGCTAGTAGTGTGCGGCATTACTTATGTCATCCAGGAAGATATGTGTGAAGATTCCATGTGTTGAAATAGCGTCCCATACTGCATCTTTCAGACGCCAAGCATCATCAGCGCCCCTGATATGCATATTCTATTTATTGATATTTCCATTTTTGTGAAACTGAACTTCAGAGAACAACATGTGTTGAATAAGTGTTTTTTCGTCTTCTAAATATTAATGAGATGAATCACAAAAGATGACTTAGCGAACTTCATCAACATCCGTCACTGCTTGTTGGATCTGAATTTTATAAGCAAACATTTTTAAGTCTTTTCTTAATATGGTTAAAATGGATGATTGTTTTAAACCAAGCTCTTGTGGCAGCCATTTTACCGATTTTCCTTGGCAAGGAATGAGTGCTGTCTGGTATCCTTACAAACATCTTTCTGCCAACCCAGAACTTGTATGTTCAATCTTTTTCACACACACATTTAAATAGTTGTTCTTTTTGGACTTTCTCTGCAGTCTCACTCTAAACTTGTGCTGCATTGTACAAAACACACTGGTCACTAGTGTACGCAGCTTGCTTATTAATGCTTGCTGAATGTCCTGCCTACGAAGCACTGATAATTGATCAGAATACTCTAACCTCTTACATGTTCTATGACACCAAAGTTATTAATGTTAGTGCAGTATATTAACAAATATTGGGATTTGTAACAACGATGTCTTTTCTTGATATTTTGTGAGGGTGTGAAACCTGGTTTATCACCTAAAGGGAAGAACATAAGTAATTTTGACTGGTTATTGGGAATGCTTATGTACATTACATTTAATCTCAGTTTCATAAAATTCCATTTTTTATTTATTCTTGTAGTATTTGCACAATATTGTTTGGTTCTTGAGATATGTAAATCAGGAGGATACCTGGGTGAAATTCGTTATGTGTGCCCTTCACTTCAAATATATCCTTCAACATATACTATGATTGAAATCCGTACTGAATTCTGGACATACCACACACTGGGTGAATTTAAATTACGTATATTTTTTTTGTTTAGCTGTAATGAGAAGCATTCATGAACACCGTCATATTACTACAATATTGTTCATATGCATTATTCAGAGTACAACTATTTCCCTCGATTTTTGAGATATCTAACACAATTTTATAATATATTTTTAATTTTACAGCAGAACCTGGGTATAATCTAAATGGAAAAGGATATCGATGTTCAAAGTGAAAAAGATTCCATTGGCGTGGTATCTGATGAGGTTCATATACAATCAGGAACTTCAATACAAAAAGATGAAACTGAGGTAAGCCTTCCTTTCAGATGAGCTTTTTTTCCTGTCTATTTATACAAGTGCCTGAGTGTTTCTTCTTACTATATAAGTTGTTATTTGTGAAACAGTTATAACGATGGAACATTACTGTACCTTTTACCCTAACTCTGATTTGCTCCTGTAGTGATCAAGGCCTGTAAGAATAATAGCAAATTGCAGCCTGAATTGGGTAGTGTACATATATATTCATTATCTTAATTTGTAATACAAAGTAACATAGACTCCTTTTTCAGGCTTGTAGAAGAACTGAGCTCCAGTAATTGTAAATAAATGCTAAACAGTCAAGGATGTTACAAATTAAATATAATGCATTTGTTCATATTTGTATCTTGTTTGGAAGCGTGTGTGCATTTGCGAACACACTTATGCATGTGTGTGAGAGAGAGAGATTAACAGTAGTAATAATTGTGTTCATTTGGATATTTTTACGAGTAATAATTTCTTTCCATTAATCTTTTAGTTTGCTTTACATCTTTTTTAGATTTATTTTCATTTTATTTTTCCACTTACAAGTCTTATGATAAATCTGTTTTGACAGAATCTTATATTTTGGTGTGAAGATTTTGTTATAAATTACAACCCTGCCCATTTTTTTTTTCTTTCGTTACTTTAACAACACAAGATAAGGAAAAGGTGTCTGTTCTCACAAACTATTCGGTAATGTTCACTGTAATGTTATTAAAGTGGTAGTTTGTTTATTGTGTTATTGGGTTATAATATATGTTGATATATACATTGAATTACTACAACACCACAGTTACTTGTTAAAATTAGTTAAAAAGGTTACATGCAACAGTTAGTATAAGTGAAAAATATATTTCCAATTCCATATTACATTTCTGTTACTGTTAGTATCCACTGAACTCCAAACTTCCGATGCTTTGAAGTGTTTTTGTGTTAAGGCTGGATGCTCGTATGATGTTGGGTTGGCGCAGTTCCTCCTATGTCGATATGTTTACTGCATTTTGGTAGCTTGCTTCTTGCTGTGTGTTCTGTTGATCGATCTTCTGTGATATTGGTTGTCTGTGGAGTAAATAAGATCAGCAATAATATGTGTAATAAATAACATTTCCTATATTTATGTATATATTTAAATCTATTTAAGACTGATGTGGTGCATTAACACTTACAGTAGGTCTTGTGGCTTTCATCTGTCGTCTGTTGTGGAGGAGTGTACTGCACTGTGTATCGTGGTATGATGTCATGCTATATGATCTATGTACAAGGGGAGTTTGAAGAGTAATGAGATTGGTAACACTGCTCATCGTTAGTGGCCTTGATCAAGATGGCACATGTTCTGTTTTGTTTCCTCAAGTGTGTTTAGCTATTCATACAGATATCATCATTTTCCAAGGTGTGCGTGTCTATAAAAGCTCTTGTACGAAAATCCTGTTTTGCAATGGTGGAACAGAACGACATTTCATGTTTTAAGGCAGAGATGTGCAATAGAATTTTGTGTGAAGCTCAGAAAAAGCGGTGAAGAGACGTTAAAGGTGTTACAGAATGTGTATGGAACAGAAAAAATGAGCTGAGCTACAATGTTTCAGGTGTTGAAACATTTTAAAAATGGAAACAAAAGGGTGGTTGACGGCTCTCTAAGAGGGAGACGAAGTACCATCATCTGGAAAAGTGATGCTGATATTGTATTGTGACTCAAAAGGCATTATTCTTCAGCACTGGCTACCTCAGCTAACTTTGAATGGCGTTCATTATGGATTATGGGTAATGCAATTCAGAAAGGAGTGATCAGAGTTCTTGATGAAAAGGTGGTGTCTGCTTCAAGACAATGTAAAAAAGTAAAACTGTCCTGCTACACACCATATAGATCTTTGGAGGGAGTGGAGGTACAGCCCCAACTCTTTTTTGACCTTGGCACTAGATGGGGGTGAGGTGGTCAGCATCACGCCCCGGCCGCGCTTTTCCTCTGGGAAAGGACCACAGTACCCATTGGACAGGAGGCTTGGTGGGCCCCAGAGCCGGTCTGCACGACCACATATTGCACATGCGGCCAGGGCTGAGGAGTCGGTAAAAATGTACAGACTCCTACCTCCATATAAATTCTTAAGAACACTTTCGTTACCGTGTGAGCCACAAGGAGCCTCACGCTTAGTGAGATTCAACGACGCGTTGAGCCACATGGTGTGGGAATAATGCTTTGTAACTTTGGCTCTGGCATCTTAAGAATGCAAACTGTCTACAAATCAACCGACTTCTGCAATAACCATTGTACGTGCATTTAAGTATAGGTTATAAGTCTAAAAAGTAGCCTTTTGATCCATGTGGTGGTGATGATGAAATCTCTTGTACCATTAGGTTTTCCATTATTAATACACATTGAGCTTTTATGAAGGAGCCAGAGTCGGAGGTTTCAATACTGACTCCATAGCCCTGCATGTGGCGATGTAGGCGCTACCAGACATCGATGGACCACCTGTAGAACACGCACCCTACAGTTCAGTCCTTGCTCCATTTGATGAGCGCTTGAACATGACACCGAAGTTAAACAAGCTACTGCTGCTGCCCTACACAAGATGTCTGGAAATGGGCTACTGCACATGTTTGAGAAGTTGCTGAGAAGCTGCAAAAAATGTATAGCATGTGAAGGCTGTAAACTTTGGCAGAGAAAGTGCCAAAGCCTCAGGAATGCTCAGATGGTAAGCAATACGAGTAGTCGCATTACTTTTCAAACTCCCCTCGTTAAGGGGGAGGATGTGTGCTGTTGGTAATAATGCTCGTATAGTGCGTCAAAGATCAGGTTATGACTGTATGGGTATCGTTCAGCTGTTGGTTTGGTTTTGGGGCGCAGTATATGGTGGTGTTTCTCTAATAGTTTAAACATCTTTTTTTACTGACTGTTTTTATTATTTCCAAGCATCTTCTGTGGGGCCATAGGATTCTCCTGTATTTGGGATATGATGTGCATTACCTGATGATCTCCATTGTTCCATATTGAACATACATGTTCTTTAAACCTCTCTTGAAGTGTGTGATCTCTTTGTGCTATATAATTAGTGTGCAGTCTCTACAGTTTAGTTTATTTGCACCTCCATCATCAATTTCTTTGTGATTTAGGTTTTTGGTGTTTTTTTAAATATATCAGTGGTTTACAAAGCTATTTTTATCCGTATTTTTTTAAATTTTGTTATATACGATGTTTGTTTGCATGTGTATACAAATGTGGTCCATTTCTCCTTATGTCCTTTGTTTGTTTATGTGTGCTATTATGTTGTTTTTATGTTGATGTTTTGTGTTTACTGTTGTTAAATTTGTTCCATATTATATTTGTATTATGATATTTTTTTTTGGTTATTTGCCAAGTGGAATTTAATTTCTTACTTTCATTCTTACTTTTATGATGGATATTTTTGTTACTTGATTGAACAGGCAGTTGTCGCTGTTTTGTGCTCTGTAGGATGACGACAAGTTTGATGTACAGTCATACTTACTAGAGATGGCTTCCAGTATTTGTTAGTTAATTGATCTTGTAATGCAAATGTGTGGAGTTTCCTTTCCAGGTATTGACTGAATTATTTATGATATTTAGATGACTTCAGCTGTGAAGGGTTAAGGGAAGAACAGTCGTTGATGTTGTTTGACAGTTGGGTACAGAACACAATATTTGGAACACTGAAGGAAATAATGGGGACTGGGGAAGATGCTTAATGTGGTGCTGCTTAATCATTTGTCTATATCAAATATTAAATATTGTGGTTATCAAATCAAGGAGGATGTATGGGGATTGTAAACATTAGAAATGAATACGAGAATTCAGTTAGAAAACCAGAATAGTTGAGACTGCTTGGTGGATGAAGACATAGATTGGAGGATAATATTAAAATAGTTCTTAAAGAAGTAGGATATAATCACAAGGACTGGATCCTTGTGGCTAAGGATAGCAACCAGTGGCAGGCTATTTGAACTTTCTCTGTAAACCTCTGGGTTCCGTATATGCGGCTAATTTCTTGACTGCCTGAGAACTAGTCTGTTCAGCAGACTTAGTTCAGTAAAGAAATGAAACATTCCATTTTATGTTTAATTTGTTTAGTGTTCTTGAAGCTGTTCGTACAGCACATGCATTACCACAGTTGTAATGTAATTGTTTCAGTCCATATATATATATATATATATATATA